GGGGAGAAATGTGAATATTATAGTAGAAATTGAAGGCATTAAATTAGCACATTTCAAAGAAATACCTGCAGCAAGACTGAGGAAAGAAAAAGCTTATGGAGAGAGATCACAAGAAAGAAAGAAGACAAGAAAAGGACAGGAGACAGGCACAATTGTGGGCCAGTTTGCACAGGGTTGAACAATGGTATTCAAAATGGCAACATATTTAACATAAAAGAATTTTGCCTACCTGTGCTCTTCTTTTCTAAAGATTTCTATCATGTTTAAATGGTGAGAACGATGTAGTTTTTGGCATGTTGTAAATATTGACATTTTGAAATAAAGCTGCTGCACTCTTTTACAATAGCCAAGACATGGGAGCAACCTAAATGTCCATCAGCAGAGGAATGAATAAAGATGTGCTATATATACAGAGTGGGATATACACTTGGTCATTAAAAAGAATGAGTAATGCCATTGGCAACAACATGAACGGACCTCGAGATTGTCATACTGAGTGAAGCATGTCAGACAGAGAAGGAGAAGTATCGTATGACCTCCCTTATATATGGAGTCTAAAAAGAATTGATACAAGTGAACTTACAAAACAGAAACACCGGCAGATTTAGAGAATGAAATTATGGTGGCCAAGGGGGAAGGGTGGGGACAAGGAATAATTAAGAGAGTTTGGAACGGACATGACTGTCTGCTGTATTTAAAGTGGATAACCAGCAAGGACCTACTGTTCAGTACATGGAACTCTGCTCAATGTTATGTGGCAGCCTGGACAAGAGGGGAGTTAGGGAAGAATGGATACATGTGTATGTGTGGCTGAGTCCCTTTGCTGTCCACGTGAAACTATCGCACCATTGTTAATCGGCAGTGTGCTTGTGCTAAGTCGCCTTAGCTGTGACCCCACGGACTGTAGCCTACCAGGCTCCTCTGTCCATTGGATTCTCCAGGCAAGAATACAGGAGTGGGTTGCCATGCCCTCCTCCAGAGGATCTTCCTGACCCAGGCATAGAACCCAGGTCTCTTATGTCTCTTGCATGGCAGGTGGGTTCTTTACCTCTAGTGCCACCTGTGAAGATATAAAGAGTTCTACAAAATTTAAAGTCTGCTGTAGCTCTTTTGAATGTATTGGACCACTTTGATGGACTTCATATGGTTCAACCTAAGAGGTGAACCTCATATTCTCCGAACTCATCTGGACTTGTATTTTGTTTTTGTTTTCCTGGTATTTTAAGCAACATTCCCCTGAACTCTCCAACTTTTCTCACTAAATGAAGACAAAAAAGTTGGAGTCTGTGATTACAGTGGAAAAGAATTGTGACACCCCACCTGCTGCCCCCACAGGATACCAGTGACCAGAGTAGGGGGTTGGCTCTGCTGAAGAAGGCCGGACTGAGTCTGGGGGAGGGGAGATGGTGGGGAAGACCCCCTTCTCCTCCCAACTGCTTCGGAAGAAAGGGGTTGAGGAGGGGAGTATGGCGACTGAATGGTTCATGGGATGTACACAAAAGATTGGGTTCTGAATTGGAGGCGTGAAGAGCATGGTCTGCATGCTTCCATGCCTGTGACCCCTGGTGAACATACCGGGTCAGAAGCCAGGGGTCTCACCAACCACAGAGTCCTTTGTTCAGGTACAGGACCCATCCGTTTTTAGACACCCATGAAGCCTGCAGGGGGCAGCCCGGACTCAACACCCTCCCCCAACCCCAAACAGCACCCTTGCCTCTCCCTTATAAAGCGCAGGTTCAGCCTAGGAGTCCCTTGGTGCCCTTGTTCAGTTGCTCAGTCGTGTCTGATTTTTTGTGACCCTGTGGACTGCAGCACGCCAGGCTTCCCTGCCCTTCACCATCTCCCTGAGCTTGCTTAAACTCAAGTCCATTGCATCGGTGATGCCATCCAACCATCTCGTCCTCTATTGTCTCTTTCTTCTCCTGTCTTCAGTCTCCCAGCATCAGGGTCTTTCCCAAAGAATTGGTTCTTCCCATCAAGTGGCTAAAATATTGGGAGTTTCAGCATCAGTCCTTCCAGTAAACAGTCAGGGTTGATTTCTTTTAGGATTGATTGGTTTGATCTCCTTGTAGTCTGAGGGACTCTCGAGAGTGTTTTATTGACTAGGATACCGGGCTTTCACTCCCGTGGCCCACATTCAATCCCTGGTCCGGGAACTAGGATCTTGCAAGCCTTGCAGTGTGGCCAAAGGAAAAAAAGAATAGTCAAGTCCAGCCCAAAAGGAGGGAGAAATCAGAGCAGCAACTAAATCTGGCAAGCTGAAGGAGACAGGCCACACCTGAGGAAGGGCCCTCGGGGCAAGGGGAACCCCCGATACTCAGACACCTTCTGAACATCAGGCCACACATGACCTGGGGAGCCCCTCCCCCACCGCCACACTGCAGCCCCAGGTCCCTTTCTCTTTCCGTTCTCGAGGTGCCAACATCTCCCTCGGTGCCTTCTAGGATCAGGCCCTTGCTATTATCATGTTCGTGCCAGGAGACAGCATCTTATGGATTCCCAGCGTGTACAGAGTGCCAGTCTAGAGCAATGATGATGATCCCTGCCAGCCCTTCGCTGGAAGCCCCAGTGGGTATCCTTCAATCCTCCCAGCAAGATGGGTTATATTATCCCATTTCCCAGATGGGTTGAGTATCAGGAACTGTATGGTTCCCAGGGCCACCATCACAGATGATCACAAACTGGGTGGAAATTTACTCTCACACTTCTGGACGCTAGAGGCCAACAGAATCACAGTGTTGGCAGGGTCATGCTCTTTCAAAGGCAATTTGGAAGTATCTGTCCCATGCCTGTCTAATTAATTTCCCATGCGGCAGGAAGTCCTTGGCTTGCAGCTCCTCCACTCTCTGCCGCCTTTGTCACCTCAGCTTCCACCTGTGTGTCTGTCCTTTTTTGCAAGGACATAGGGGCTTCCCCAGTGGCTCAGTAGTAAAGAATCTGTCTGCAGTGCAGGAGACAAAGGAGATGTGGGTTCCATCCCTGGGTCAGGAAGATGCCCTGGAGAAGGGAATGGCTACCCACTCCAGTATTCTTGCCTGGAGGATGGCATGGACAGAGGAACCTGGCGGGATACAGTCCATGTGGTTGCAAAGAGTTGGGACATGACTGAAACAGCTGAGCATAGTGGATGAAGGGCCCACTGTAGACCAGTGTGACCTGCACTTCACTTTTTGCAGAAGGCAAAGAGAAAAGGAAAGATACACCCATTTGAATGCAGAGTTCCATAGAACAGCAAGGAGAGAAAAGAAAGCCTTCCTCAGTGATCAGTGCAAAGAAATAGAGGAAAACAACAGAATGGGAAAGACTAGAGATCTCTTCAAGAAAATTAGAGATACCAAGGGAACATTTCCTGCAAAGATGGGCTCAATAAAGGACAGAAATGGTATGGACCTAACAGAAGCAGAAGATATTAAGAAGAGGTGGCAAGAATACATAGAAGAACTATACAAAAAAGATGTTCATGACCCAGATAATCATGATGGTGTGATCACTCACCTAGAGCCAGACATCCTGGAACTCGAAGTCAAGTGGGCCTTAGGAAGCATCACTATGAACAAAGCTAGTGGAGGTGATGGAATTCCAGCTGAGCTATTTCAAATCCTAAAAGATGATGCTGTGAAGGTGCTACACTCAATATGTCAGCAAATTTGGAAAACTCATCAGTGGCCACTGGACTGGAAAAGGTCAGTTTTCATTCCAATCCCAGAGAAAGAAAATGCCAAAGAATGCTCAAACTACTGCACAATTGCATTCATCTCACACGCTAGTAAGGTAGTGCTCAAAATTCTACAAGCCAGACTTCAATAGTATGTGAATCGTGAACTTCAAGCTGGATTTAGAAAAGGCAGAGGAACCAGTGATCAAATTGCCAACATCTGCTGGATCATTGAAAAAGCAGGAGAGTTCCAGAAAAACATCTACTTCTGCTTTACTAGAAAGTAGAAAGGCTTTGACTATGCCAAAGCCTTTGACTATGTGGAACTCAAGAAACTGTGGAAAAGTCTTCAAGAGATGTGACTACCAGACCACCTGACCTGTCTCTTGAGTAACCTGTGTGCAGGTCAGGAAGCAACAGTTAAAACTGGACAAGGAACAACAGACTGGTTCTAAACAGGAAAAGAAGTATGTCAGTGCTGTATATTGTCACCAGCTTATTTAACTTGTATGCAGAGTACATCATGTTAAATGCCAGGCTGGAGGAAGCACAAGCTGGAATCAAGATTGCCAGGAGAAGTATCAATAACCTCATATATGGAGATGACACCACCTTTATGGCAGAAATCTAAGAAGAACTAAAAAGCCTCTTGATGAAAGTGAAAGAAGAGAGTGAAAAAGTTGGCTTAAAGTTCAGCATTCAAAAAACTAAGATCATGGCATCTGGTCCCATCACTTCATGGCAAATAGATGGGGAAACAGTGACAGACTTTGTTTTTTGGGGCTCCAGAATCACTACAGATGGTGACTGCAGCCATGAAATTAAAAGACACTTCCTCCTTGGAAGAAAAGTTATGAGCAACCTAGACAGCATATTAAAAAGCAGAGACATTACTTTGCTAACAAAGGTGTGTCTAGTCAAAGCTATGGTTTTTCCAATACTCATGTATGGATGTGAGAGTTGGACTATAAAAGAAAGCTAAGCACCGCAGAATTGATGCTTTTGAACTGTGGAGTTGGAGAAGTCTTGAGAGTCCCTTGGACTGCAAGGAGATCCAACCAGTCCATCCTAAAGTAAATGAGTCCTGAATATTCATTGGAAGGACTGATGCTGAAGCTGAAACTCCAATACTCTGGCCACCTGATGCGAAGAACTGACTCATTGGAAAAGACCCTGATGCTGGGAAAGATTGAAGGCTGGAGGAGAAGGGGACGACTGAGGATGAGATGGTTGGATGGCATCACGGACTCAATGGACATGAGTTTGAGTACACTCTAGGAGTTGGTGATGGATAGGGAAGCCTGGCGTGCTGCAGTCCATGGGGTCACAAAGAGTTGGACACGACTGAACAACTGAACTGAACTAACTTTATATCTGCAAAAGCTGTTTCCAAACCAGATCACATTCTGAGGTCCTGAGGGTTAGGACATCAACACATCTTCTGGGGAACATAATCCAACACTAATAGAAAGTGACTCACCCCAAATCACCCAGAGGAACAGGCAGAATCCCAAGGCCTGAGTTCTGAATCACGGCCGGAGCAGCCTGTCATCTGAAGAGCCTGGCTTCCACCTCTCCTGAGATTTCAATATGTCAGCATCCAGTTTATGCCCGCTTCTGTGTCTAGCCGGCTATGTTTGGCCACCAGAGCCAGCATAGTTCTGGGTCCCACCATCATGTCCTGGGACACTGCCCTCAAAGTTCACCTGGTCAGCTCTGGGTTAGTCACCGCCCCCCCGCCCCGGCTGCCCTTTTGTCCACCCCCTGGTGGGGCCAGAAGATCAGGGTGGTTTGGGGTGAGGGGAGGGGCAAGCACATCCATGGCCTGGAGGGGCCTGATGTGGGAGGCGTGGAAGGTCCTAGCCCAGGGTGGCAAGTGCATGGGTGTCTCCTCACCATTTCCAGATGCCCACTGTCCCCCTCCTGTCTTCCTTCAAATACAAGAGAGGGCCTGAAGCCAGCAGGGAGACTGTGGGGCTGGCCCAGGTCACCAGAGCCCACAGGGGCCTCCTGACCCCAGCCTGCTGGGGCTTTCCCAAGGTATCGACTGAAAGGTCCAAGGTTGTCTCCCTCCCTCTTCTGGAGGTGGGAGGCTGGGCCTGAGACTTTGCTCCTACCTGTGGGGGGTGGGAGGTGAGGGTGGAGCCGCTGTGGCCTCAGAGGGTACCCAGGGCAGGAGGGTCAGCAGACAGGGCTGGCTCACCTCGCAGGCAGGAGCCTGGGGCCTGGAGGGGAGCCTGGGAAGCAGGGGCCGCAGACGTCACTAACAGCCCCTCCTCATCCCACACCCTGGACAGAGATCCTGCCCCCAGCCCCAGAAAAACCAGGAGGAAAAAGGGAAGGACAGGGAAGCAGGAGGTGAGGGGGAGACCCCAGCTCTGCCACCTGCTGGTTAGGAGATAACCGTGGAAAGTGCCGGTTCCCACGGACCCCCAACCCCGCCTTGCTCCGCTGACTGCACTCCAAGGGAGACCCGCACTCCAGAGGAGAGGACAGACCAGGTCGAATGAACGTGGGCCCGAGCAAGAGGGGGCCGCGGACCAGGCCCCGCCCTGCTGCAGTGAAAGGCACCTGGTGGGGATGAGCCCACGGGGACGGGGACCTAGAGGTCCTGGACGCTTCGGACAGACTGACACTGATGTGCCGGTCCCTGGAGTCAGAAGAGGTGCCAGACCTCATGTCTTTGCCTGTTTAGCAAATACAGAGTGTGAGGCTCTGACTAGGTGCTAGGACCATCAGAGACTGCGGTGGTGGGCCAGAAGGAACATACCCACCTATGACACACGTGCACACACGCGTGCACACACAGGTCAGACCACTGCACCCTCAGACCCAGGGAGACGCTGAGGCTGTTTCAGTGTCCTCCTCCGTCAGTGGGGGGATGGCGGTCTGTGGGAGGGCTTCCCCCTATTTTAGAGGAGCAGTTTGTTTTGCTTTAATAAGGGAAACAGATCTGAGAGGTACAGGCTGTATTTCCTTTTCACCATCTGCCCCTCCTGCCCTGGAGGCAATGGGAGAGACGGACCTGGGCTCTCGCCATGAGGGGCGCACCGGAGCTGCAGCCTCCTGGTCCTTCAGCTGAAACTTCTCTAGACTCCAAAAAAAGAGCTGACTCCCTGCCCCGCCCCCTATCATGCCAAGGTTTTGTGGAGAACTCAGAAATTTTTGACTGCGCTTTTTGAGGCAAAACTGTCCACAGTTGCCCTTAGGTGATGGTCTATGTGACCTCCGGGGTGAGTCTACACTCACTCCAGTTTATCCACTTTCCCTCCCCATCTCCCAGGTCCCAGACCTACAGCACCAAGGAGATCAATCTGCAGCTGAGCCAGAAAGATGGTCAGACCATCGAGTGGATTTTCATCGACGCCAGGGCCTTCACAGGTAATCTGCATCCAAGGCCCCTGCTGGACCTGGCTGTGGGCACGGGGCCATGCAGAGACCACGCCCCCTCCCGTGACACTCAAGATGAAAACTCCTGTAAACCATACGTCAGCCTTTATATCACTCACTCGTGTCCCACTGTTTGCGACCCCATGGACTGTAGTCCAGCAGGCTCTTCTGTCCATGGGAATTCTCCAGGCAAGAATCCTGGTGTGGGTTGTCCTGCTCTCCTCCAGGGGATCTTCCCAACCTGCGGATCAAACCCAGGGCAATTCTTTACCATCTGAGCCACCAGGGAAGCCAGCAGTAACAGTGAACCATAAAATGCATGTAATTTAAAGGCCCAGGACAGTGATCTTACTCATTGCTAATGACTCCGGTTTTGGCGGGAGGGCCATCGAGCATCCATCTGTGCACAGTGGTGCTCCTGTGGGTACAGACTGGCTGCCCTGCAGCTGGTCCTGTGGGCTGCCCGCCCCCAGTCCCTGTGCCCACCCCAGCCTGCTTCCCGCAGAAAACAGCGAGTGGGCGATCCGGCACTGGCCAGCCAAGATGCTGCTGGACAAGGTGTCCCCAGCCGAGGAGGCAGGCCACCAAAAGGATGTCTTCTACCTGTTTATCCAGCGCAAGCTTCTCTTCTACGTCACCAACATCATCGCACCCTGTGTCCTCATCTCCTCCGTGGCCATCCTCATCTACATCCTTCCTGCCAAGGGTACCTAGTGCGGGTGGGAGGGGGGCTGTGGCCCGGCCAGTGGCACAGGGAGTGGGGAGGGCAGAATGGCACCGTGACCTGGGACCCGGGGCACGGAATCCTTGTGGGGAGGGCGCTGCCCCACGGTGCGGAGGTTGAGACTGGCTCTGAGGGCCTCTTGGTCGTGGGCAGCGGGGGGGCCAGAAGTGTACTGTTGCCATCAACGTGCTCCTGGCCCAGACCATCTTCCTCTTCCTCGTGGCCAAGAAGGTGCCCGAGACCTCCCAGGCCGTGCCACTCATCAGTAAATAAGGCTGACTCTTTAATTCCTGAGCCCACCTCCTTCCTTCCCTTCTCAGGAACGCCATCCAGGCCTGTGTGGAGACCTGCAACCTCATTGCCCACGCCCGGCACCAGCAGACTCACTTTGACAGTGTAAGTCAGCAGGGGGTGGGGTGGGGTTTGCACACCAGGTGAGGGACTTGGACCTGAGACAGGGCAGGATGAGTGGGGTGGCCATGGTAGGCCAATGGCATGGAAAAAGTGGGATTGGGAGTGGCACCATGGGCCTATGGAAAAATTCAGGGTCAGACCTAACATATGTCAGAAGGGGTCACGGAAATGAAGAGCAGAAGCCTGCTGGATGGCTAAGGATGCTCCAGAGATCCCGCCTTGGTGTCACCTCTGGTCATGTCTTACCCTGCCTCCCACTCTCAGGGGAACCAGGAGTGTTCTGGTGGGCTGAGTACAGGATCGAGTCTGCTTCCTGGCCATGCTCTCACTCTTTGTCTGTGGCACTGCTGGCATCTTCCTCATGGCCCACTACAACTGAGTGCCTGCCCTGCCATTTTCCGGGGACCCCCACTCCTATCTGCCCTCCTCTGACTGAGCTGACGGATCACTGCTAGCCACGTGGAGTCTTATCAGCTGTGTTCTGATGCTGAGGTCATGAGTATGCTCTTTGGGAAACACCCTTGGGGGATATGTGAGAAAAGTGGGGGAAATAGAGACAGAGCTGGAACCCCGGAGTGGTCGGGGCTGGGATGTGGGCAGAGTGCGCTAGTGGAATCAGCATGCACGAGGCACTGGCTTGCTTGTCCTGGCACTCTCCTGACTTCAGCGAAGTGTTGTCAACTCCCATCACTTCTGAAGCCCTTCCGACTCTGTTTATCCTATCCCCTGCTGGACACGGCCCTGGCCCTAGTCCTCCAGGCCTGGGCCTCTCTTCCCTTTTACAGGTTCTCTGCAGCCTCTTGAAAGAGGGGAGTCAAGAGAAAAGTGAAGAGTGGCGGCCAATGGTCTTTTGAAAGAAGGGAGGCAGCCCACTCCAGCTGGCATCTGCCTGCTTTCTGGGGGCTGTAGGCACCAAATATTTTATGAGTTTTACTCTCTTTTTTCATTGTCAAGAGCTCCTCATAGCATCACGGATAAGCAAGAGTCACTATTCCCTATGTTTAGGTTGCGCAAATTGGGGCCTAGAGTAAGAGGGACTTGCCAGAACAATGATGGATAAATAAGGTTTGGAGTTCAGAATTCCCAACTCTGACTTAATCTTAGACATTCTAAGAAAGTTCTATGGCTTGTGAAATGACTCATCTTCCTTCTTTTCTCAAAGGCCAGGGAATTTGCACTGGTCTGAAGGGATGGTTAAGACAAGAAAGAGCTAGGGTGGGAAGGAGGGAGCCTGAGAGGAGACCCTGACCAGCCTCCCTGGCCCATTAGGAAACAAGGTAGCTAGCTGGTCTTTGGGGCAGGCGGGGTGGGGGCGGTGTCGGTAAGGCCTTGCTTTTAGAATATGGATGGAGCCTGAGGCCTGAGTTCTACTGGTGACAAGACACAAGCACATTTGTGCTTCCTGTACCTGTGTCTTCGTCTGTAAATATGGGCACAAATATCAGTTCCTATCCACCTTCATCACAGGATCAACGGTGCCAATGAAGATTAAAAAAATGTTACAGTGTCACATAAACACCTGACAACGGGACACTGTTGTGGGGGGAAGAGACCCCGGAAATAGCCAGGGTCGCTGGCTTTGGGATCACTCATCAGCAGGTTCACTGCATTTACTCCAGCGCGCGTGTGCGCGTGCTGCACGCACCGCTGTGCGTCTGGAGCATCGGGCAGTACCTGGGGCGAGTCAGCCGCTCTGACTGCCTCAGAAGATGGGGGGCAGCTCTGCCGCTCCTGGCACAAGTAAGCAAAGATGAACAATCGCTACCATTTCTTGAGGGCTTCTTTGTCTACAGCCTGACACCCATTATCTCGATCAATCCCCAAAGCAACGTGAAGATACGGGTACTACAGTATAGGATGCTGCTGCTGCTGCTGCTGCTAAGTCGCTTCAGTCGTGTCCGACTCTGTGCGACCCCATAGACGGCAGCCCACCAGGCTCCTCCGTCCATGGGATTCTCTAGGCAAGAACACTGGAGTGGGTTGCCATTTCCGCCTCCAATGCATGAAGGCGAAAAGTGAAAGTGAAGTCGGTCAGTCGTGCCCCACTCTTCGCGACCCCATGGACTGCAGCCCACCAGGCTCCTCCGTCCATGGGATTTTCTAGGCGAGAGTACTGGAGTGGGGTGCCGTTGCCGTCTCCACGGCATAGGATGGTCAGTACCAAATAGCCTCAGGGAGGTTAGGAGAGAGTCCAGGATCGCGCAGTCCCACTGTGGGTGGAGTCGGGATTTCTACCAAGAGCCTGCTCCCTTAACGATTCGGAGTGGCCCTTCTCGGAGCTCATCTCGAGAGGCGGACAGGACGCACTTGGCTAAGCCGAGCGGGCAGCAGGTAGGATCAAGGACCGGGACAGGAACAGAGACCCGATCTCACGCCGCCCAGTCGCCAAACCTGAACTCCTCCGCACAGGAGGAAGGCGTACCGGGATATCCGTCCCCTACCCGGGCTACGCGCCAACGTTCCGCTGTGCGCTGAGCAACCGGAAGTAGTCGGACCCAAGGAGGAGGGACCTGGCAGAGCGAAGCCGTTCGTGAGACAATGACGATGTTAGCAGACAGGATGAACAAGTTCGAGGCGTGACAGGCGCATGGCCGCCCCCCGGGGCCCCTTCCCCGAAACTGTTCTCTGCGTCCACCCCCGCCCGGATTCCAGGCGGCGCAAACTGCGGCACAGGCCACGCTGTCTGACTCGGGCAGCAGGCTGGGCAGCCAGCGGGGATGAGGGGGTCTCGGGGACCCCAGGGTCGTACGGACCCAGGGCGAAGTGCGGTGTCCAGGGGTCAGGAGGTGGCCGTGCGGCCCGGAAGGAGGTTTTCGGATGCCCTGCCCGGGTGCGGGTTACCCGCGGCGTGGAGTGCAGAGACCTCGGCGGTTTGGGTGTTTCCGCAGCCTGGCCTCCCTGCTACTGAATCCAGTTTTTCTTATACACCCCTCTGGCCTAGGCGGGTCACCTCTCCTCTGAGTCTCAGTTTTCTCATTTGCAAAGCAGGGATCGTAACAGAGCCCATGTCATAGAGTTGCGAGGATGCAGTGAGGTAATGTGACTGCCGCGTTTAGCGCAGCGGCTGCTCTGTTATGGAATTGTCATCATCTTCCTGAGTGTTCTTCCTCTCCTTTCCCCGTCTTCGAACACTCTCTCCCAGATTTCAGTTTCTTGCCCAACAGGTGAATCTTACCTATTGTTTGAGTTCTAGTTCTAGCATCAAACAGTTTGCAGGTGCAGAGCGTAATATTTTTACACATTTCCCTCCAGCGATTGTGTCTGGAGGTAGATTTTGTTCTTGGCTCTCTTCTAGTAGTCTAGCAGTAAATGTCTTCTTTTCCGAAGACCTAGATTTCCAGCCTCAGACCGCCCAGTTACCAGTTATTTGACAGCAGTTATTTACCCAGTCTCTGCGCCTCTGGTAACCCAAACTGTGTTAGTGATGAGTGTCCTGCTGCTGCATGGGGTGTGCTAAGGGTCAGATCACATTCACCAATGCTTAAAGGTACTTTGTAAATTGTTAAATAGTGAGATATACATGTGAAATGAAATTACTTTTAGTTTAGTGTTTGACCCACTGTTGCTGAGGGGAACTTGGAGTTTTTCCAGGGCAATGAGTGCTGGTGTGCAAATTCAGAGGTCCTGGATTCCAGCACTCTTGGCAGCTCCTCGGGAATGTTTCCTGGTTGCTGAGAGGGCTCTGCTACTTGACAAACGTCTTGGGGAGTTTGCTTCTGTAGCCCACTGTGTAGCTGAGCTCACCCCTAGGCTGACTGCCACTGCCCCAACCCCGACCATCAGGAGCTTCCCTGGGGGCTCACTGCTAGGGAATCCACCTGCCAGTGCAGGAGATGCAGGTTTGATCCCTGGGTCAGGGAGATCCCCCGGAGGAGGAAATGGCAACCTGCTCCAGTATTCTTGCCTGGTAAATCCCATGGACAGAGGAGCCTAGCAGGCTATAGTGCATGGGGTTGCAAAAGAGTCAGACACAGCTGATCGACTGAACAACAAAAACCCCATCCTAAACCCTGCAACTCTTAGCTCCAGATCAAAGTCCTGCCTCAGTGGAGCTTTCTGCCAACCCTATACTCCTTTCTCCACCAAACCGAAGAAATTAAAATTTCATTTTAAGATACGTCATGGGTCATCTGGCTCAGTCCTACCCAAATCATGTCTTATTTCTTGGTCTGCAGTAAGCTAATTTGAGAATGGCAGTAATGGCTTCCATAGGCACTTTGCTGCTTTTCACATATTAACTGCTTTGAACAACCCTGTAAGGGGATCTTGTTACTTTGTTTTACAAATAAGGAAAAAGACTCTCTGAGATGAAATAAATTGCCCACAACAGGAAGGGCCACATATGGTGAGATTCTTACCCAGGTTGTTTAATGATGGTTCAAGCACATCTTGACAAAATTAACCTGTATTCTTTTTTTTTTTTTTTTTTGCTGTGCCCTGTGGCTCGTGGGATCTTAGTTCCCTGACCAAAGTTTGAACTCAAGCCCCCTACATTGAAAGTATATCTTAACCACTGGACCATCTGGGAAGTCCCTAACCTGGGTCATTTTTAATTAGTTCCAATTATTCATTATACTGAGCCAGATTTTTTTAAACACCTGTCTTCTAGCTATTCACGAAAAAAAAAGTAAACTCTCAGTAGAAATTAGCAACTGAAGAAAGCACTCCAGCCCTTAGGTTGTTTTTTTTTTTTTTTAATGCAAAAATGTGCAGTTTTTAGACCACTGGTTTCTTGTTTGGTCTCTATACTCTTCACCACTTGGCTCCTAAGGACATGTGGACATGTTTCAGTTTGCCAGAGTCCTGCAAGTGACTTGCCTAATCTGATGGGCTCAGATTACAGAAAAGTCTAGTCTCCTTTCCTGTGTGGCCTTCATATGTAAACTAATCCTACACACACACACCCCTCCTTCCCCCCCTCCCCCCAGCATCAAGTCAGTATCAAGTTAAGTATCATTGCTATCGATCCTATTCATATGTAA